AGAGAGAGAGAGAGAGAGAGAGAGAGAGAGAGAGAGAGAGAGAGAGAGAGAGAGAGAGAGTTAGCGCTGGCAGGGAGAAGGCAGCCATAGCTGCGACAGTGCAGAGTGTTAGTGTTAGCTAGTGGTAGTTAGTAGGCATAGCAGTGGGTGTATTCAGAGTAGATCCTTGAGTAATAGTAGTTGGTGAGTGTGCATGCATGTAGGGAGAGAAGACACAGTGAGGACATAGCTAGAGAGAAGACCAGAGAGGGAGAAGAAGAAGAGCAGGAGGGGAATTGTTGCATACTGTAAAGGTGCAGACCAGAACAAGAACCGACCTCTCTCACAAAGTACAAGATAGCGCAGCGGAAAACTTCGATACCAATGATCCGAACAATCAATATTGCAATGCAGCCCCGAACATACATCATCGTCATCATCACTCCATGGTGTGAAGGGGTCTGGCGCTCACACAGGAAGAATGTGCCAGCCCCAACCATACACAGACGAAGAAGAGGGGAGTTAGACGAAGAAGAGGAAGTCTTCGGCACAGGCCCAAACAGTCCCTCGTCAAAATGTCTGAATCCCAATGTCGAGTCTGGATCCAATGTCGTCAAGTCTCAAGTCACAACTCTCTCTCTCTGTCGTAGTCCGCTGATACTGAGAAGTCAGGTGGTGAGAGGGTGAAGAAGAGATGGTGGACTTAGAGGAGGAAGAAGAAGAACTCTCTCTCTCTCTCTCTCAGTCCGGTACTAACCTGTGAAGCTGGCGCCTTGATGCAGGTACCTCGAAGATGGAGCTGGAGCTATGGCGCCACAGGTAGGTCTCACTGGCCTCCTCCAGCCATCTCTCTCCAACACTACTACTACCACTACTTAGCGCCCTGCGCTGAAGACTACTCCTACAGCTACTAGCGCCCAGCGCTGAAGACTACTGCTAGCGCTAAGCTACTCCTGCAGCGCTCCTCCTGAGTGCTGCTGCCGAATCCTGAAGACTGCCTCCTGCCTTCTGTCCAACTACCTCCCGTGAAGTGCATGGGAACTCCCTATGTACTACTCGGCCTGCCTCCTGACTGCAGGGCGAGGCAGTCCAGGAGGCTGCTCTTGCCAATGCCGAAGGGAGTCAGGGGCTGCCGCTGCAGCTCCTGCTGAGGCTGTTGTGGGAACAGGCCAAAAATAGCCTGTTCCCGAAACCCTGGTTTTGCACTTGAGTGTTAGGGCAGGTCGATCTTATGAGGGCCCGAAGTGGCCCTCCGTTTCAGGCTGAAAAGCCCTGTTTTAGGCTGAAAACGAAATAGGGCCTGCAGGCCCTCGTTTTCAGTTTTCAGGCTGAAACGACATGGGGCCTGTAAGCCCTTATTTCTAGGCTTTTAGGCTGAGAATGCGGGATGGGCCCTGCAGGCCCGTGTGGCTACGAAGTATGCCACAGGAATACTTACCTGAGAGTTGATGCTGGTGACTGGCAACCTTTGTATGCGCTGATGAGCGCTGGTGACTTGAACTCTTACTGCTCCTGTGATAATTTGTTGGAATTCATAAGCTGCGTTACCTGGTTTTCAACTTTCTGGCATCCAGTGTGGAATTCGTGTCATCTCATTCGTGTTAGATGCATGTCTATGTGTACACTCTTTGGTGGTGAACTGTGTGGTTCATAGCAAGCTGGTATCGGAGCCATAGCTCTGCATCCATTGAACATCGTTGGCAACGATTAAGGCCCGCGAGTAGAAGGACAAGAGAGTGGGAGGTCTGACAAAAGGGAGGAAAAGGTCGAGCTGAAGAAGGAAGGGGCTAGGGATTGGTGATCACATACCTCTCATTGCTGCGCTGGAGCGAAGAGGAGCGGAGGAGCATCACCAACAGAACGTTACCGAGTGAAGTGTATCGCCCCCTAAGCCTGTATTGCTTGCTTGAGTGTCTTGGTGATTAATACCTTCCATATTCCGGTGTCGCTGCTGCTGGGCTGGTCCAAGTGTTGTACACGACTGGTTTGAGTCTAGTGTCCAGTCAGTGTCATTAAGAAAAAAAAAAATATATATATATACAGTCCGGTGTAAGGAAAAGGCAGTAGACATTGCAAGGAGTCAGACCCACTCTAGGCGAAGTGTTAAGTAGAGTTAGAAGAGGTTAGTCTACATGGTGAGGGGTTGGAGGCCGCTTACCTGTGCCCTTTGCCGCCATGGACGACTACCCCATGTTCTCGATTCTCGCCATGTCTGTACTTTGGGCCCCGCTGTTCCGGTTTCTCTTTCCTTTTGGCTTCCAACATACCTCTTTCTGTTACACAACCTTGAGATCTGGGAAATCAACGCAGGTGCATTCAGCCGAGGAGCACGCAGAAATAGATCGCCGGCTAGCCGAGAAAAGAAAAGAGAAAGAAGAAAAGATAAAGAAAAAGGAGGAATCGAAGCAGAAGTTGCAAGAAAAAAAGCAGCAAATGGAGAAGGAGGTTCAGGAGAAGGAGAGGGCCATGAAAGAAAAGAGAGAAGGATGATGGAGGAGTTGAAGGCCATAGAAGAGGAGGAAGAAGAGGAGGAAGATGGAGAGAAGTTGGAAAGAAGAAGAGGCCAACCGCAACAAGAACAAGCTGAGAGCAGTCAAACGGGCGGCATTCGGATGCGCCAACTAGAAGCAATGGACTGGCAAAGCCAGTTCGGGTTTCGGGAGGAGCTGCCAGCAGAGAGTGAGGAGGAGAAGGAAGCTTTCCTCAAACTGTTGTCGGAAGTAAAGGATGAGGCGGAAAAACGATTGTTGGTGGAGGAGAGAAGGGCAGACTTGCACAACCACATGCTGTTAGAGAGGAGAAAAGTGTTTGATGAGAAGAAGAAGATGAAAGAGGAGGGGGAAAGATTGTGGAAGTTGCTGCAGGAGCAAAAAGGGAAGCAGGTTGCAATAGAAGACAGACTCACCCTCCTCACTGACAGCCTCCTCCATACCAATTATCAGCTCGCTGTACTTCATCAAACCATTAACACAGTAGAGGCACAACAAGGGGAGTTTGCAGATACTTGGAACAATTTTCTGAATAATGCCTCTCCACAAACTGACTAGTGAGTCGGCAGTTATGTGGAGTTCTTAGATGAAGCTCTCTGTCAGAGACTTAAAGACCCCGCTGTGTTAAAGCAATTGAAGATTAATGGTGGGGAAGGAGATGGAGGTGACGATGATGATGATGGAGATAAGAAGAAGGGTCCCAAGAAGGAAGGGGACAGCGAAGCGGAGGAGTCCAGGCAGAAAATGAAGGTGAAACTGCCATGGACGTATACAAAGAAAAAGGAAGAAAGCATCTTCCACTGGGAGGCGGCCATGGATACGTACTTATCCGAACAAAAGATTATGTACCAGAACCGCTTATTAATGGCAAGCTCTTGTATGGCAGGGGATGACATTAGCTTTGCCATCTCTTTGATAAAAGAGGCTGGTTGTGTTTCCATGGTCCAATACTCGCAGCAAACACGTATTGAAGATTTCTTCAGGGCCATTAGGGAGAGATTTGAGGATAAGAACCTAGCCCGTAGGACGGAATCCTTGATTCTCAACATTAGTGACCGCAAATGGAAGAGTGCGTCAGCACTAAAAGGCCACGACCGAGGAATTGATGCAATGCCCGGACCATGGACTGACGCATACACAAATACTAAATAACTTTGCAAGGGCACTCCCAGAACCCTTGAAAACACAATTATATTCCTGAACAAAGGAAGAGAGAATGACCTACGAGAAGTTCAGCAAGATCGCAATGGATCATGCTGGTTTTCTACAGGAGGCACAATATTGCCACTATTGGAAGGACCTACAGGCCGGTAAGAAATGGAAAGACCGGACAATCTCAGGTAATATAGTTGGAAAAGACAACCTTCTGGTCACCTTTGAAGGAGTAGAATCACTCACTTATGACCAGATAGATTATGAATTGGACAAAGAAAGCAGTAGTCACTTAGCCCTGAGGGGGGACTATGTGGTTGTTGCAGCCCGCAGAGGAGAGCGACAAGTAGGAAGAGGTCGTGGAAGAGGAGGAGGAGGCCGCGTCCGTGGCGGAGGGAGAGGACCCGCTGCCCATAGGGGTAGTGGCGAAGGAAGCTACTACTTGGGAGGAAGGGGAAATGGTCCCTCGCAAGGTGGTAGAGGTTATAACTCAACAGGAGGTAAAGGTAGAGGTAGTTACGGGCGGTCGTATCCAGCCCATCCCGGAATTCCCATAGGCAAGCCGTGGGAGCACATGGGGATAGATGAAAAAACCTAGGCTGGTCCCCGGGCCGTCTGGCCGGTTGTTCCGCCCGGATGGCCACCGGGCGACCCCAGCGCATCCCAGAAGGGGGAGGGTGTGTGTGTGTGTGGGGGGGGGGGGGGGGGGGGGGGGTTCGGTCATTTTCAACGCGGGGGGCTTTCTTCCCCCCAAAGGAGGGCCAACACAGTTAAGAAAAAAGGGTCGGTAGGCCCGATTTCAAGAATTCGAAATCGGGGCCCATTTGTGTCGTCGATCTCCAGGATCGACGGCCCAGATGGGCCTCTGGGCCGTCAATTTCGAATTCTCGAAATCGGGCGGGAACCACTGCGGCACTCTCCTCCTCCCACGTGACCTCCCGCCCGACGCCACACTTCGCTCGACGGCTCGACGGCACACTTCGCCCGACGCCTCGCTTCGACGGGAGTTCCGCCAACGCCCGCCATCGTGCTGTCGCGCCAAGGTAAGTGGGTTAGTAGTAGTAGAGAGAGGGAGAGAGAGATCTTCTTCTTCTTCTTCTTCTTCTTCCTCCTCCTCCTCCTCCTCCTCCTCCTCCTCCTCGTCGCATCTTCTTCTTCTTCTTCTTCTTCTTCTTCTTCTTCTTCTTCTTCTTCTTCTTCTTCTTCGCTTCTTCTTCTTCTTCTTCTTCTTCTTCTTCTCTACTAGTGTCTCATGGCCCCCTGCCCGCCATCCTCCACTCGTCTTCTTCTTCTTCTTCTTCTTCTTCTTCTTCTTCTTCTTCTTCTCCTCCTCCTCCTTCGCTTCTTCTTCTTCTTCTTCTTTTTCTTCTTTTTCTTCTTCTTCTTCTTCTTCTTCTTCTTCTTCTTCTCGCCCACCCTTTCTCACCCCCCACCCTCCATCCTTTCTCACCC